TCTTCGATTTTTTAAGACCTTCTTGTTTCATAAACTGATCTCAAATCTGCCTTCCCGAAGGAAGGAATATTTCAGAGAGATTTTAGTAACCTACTGAAGGCAGCATGTCATAATATACAATATATGCAAACCTAATATTGTGAATTACGAATAATAAAGATTATAAAGATATTGTTGATTAAATAAAATCATGATTAGCATTTTGCAAAAATAATGAACAAAAATAAAACTAATAGCGAATTTGATTGGACGCACTCATTGCGCACTGATACACATTAAAACCGCCGTACATACACAAAATAACATAAATATATGTTTATAAATAATATAGAAATCGATTAAATTATGAAATACTCAATACATTTTATTGTACTATTAGATAAAATATGTATTTTATAATTCGAAATATTTGCATTTTATTTTTATACTTAAATTTAAAAAGTGTACAACGGCTTTAATATGCATCAGTGCTTCCAATCGAATTCGCCATAATGCTTATTATACGAAGAAAGAGAAAATGTTTTTAGAGAAGTTTATTTCCGAAAAAAAAGCTATCAAAAATAATTATTGCATCAGATTTAAATTAAAAGCTATCGAAAATAAAAAGACCGGTGTGACGAATTAAATTGGAGGTTTGCTTGGTTATGAAGGCTACATCTCCTCTTCAAAGAAACTCGTAACCTCCCTTGAGAAAAAGAAGCTAATAAGGCTCCTTGTTTGGTCAAGGAAGATTTATGAAATATGAAATGAGGAACAAGGAATCCTTATTCCTCAAGGCAGGACTATAAATACGGGGACTATAAATACTAATGTAGTATTGGAGTACCTTCAATCTAATCTAACCTCTTTATCTCATACAGGATCTTTAGTGCAAGTACCGACGAGATACTATTAAAGACCAATATCCTTACGGGAGTTGGCGTCCTTGTGAATATTGAAGTAATTAAAAGTTAAAAACTGAAAATATTGTACAATCATGAAACTTTTTTCCTAGAATAAAAAGTAAAAAATGCAAAATTTCTCCATTAACTTTAATGGTTAAAATCTGCACTTTTCACTTTTCATCTTAGGGATAAAGTTTCATGATTGATATCCAGGGTACAGCTGCTTTGTATTGATAATCGATCAATTGCGGACCCGATATTCCCGGTTTTGATTGGTGAGCGCACAGCCAATCAGCAAGCGAATTTTCATTTGCACATCTCTTATAATATAAGACTTTACTATATAGTATACTATCACTTCAAAATAGCTTAAGTCGCTCAAAATTCGACGCTGTAAACCCTTTTCATGGATTTCAGTTGTTGTCGCTGGCAACAATTGTGGTCTTTTGACGTTAAAAAGAGTTTCAGCGTCGCATGAAAAGGATCCTTTTTGAAGAAACCACTCCGTGGGCACAGTATATACAGTAGCGTAACTCTCTGTCAGCACCTTTGATGTTAGTGTTAGCCAAAATAGAGTGCGCATACGTGAAATAAGTAAGTTACCTAACGTTGCCACGGTAGTGTTACCACCTAAACTTCTTTCTCTTTTCATCCTTTTTTCACTCTGTCAAAATTCCTCGCAAAACTCACTAGATTTATTCGCATCGCAATCTAACGAATTCGTTGAAGTGGTAAGTGCTATTGTAGAAACATATTGGAGCATATTAGAGCATGCGACGCGAATAAAGCTAATATTGCGATAAAATAATTTAAACTTTATAAAAATTAATAAAAATAAATTGTAAATATATTTAAAAATATAGAAAAATTAGGAAAAATATTAAATTAATTTAAAAATGTATATTTGTATAAAGAAATATTATGTAATTATATATCTATGAAAATATTATGAGAATATTATGAGCTGATATAAAAGAAATTTATACACATATATATGTCCAAAAAATAAGTTTAAAATACAATAAATAAAAAGAAATCTTTCTTGCTCGGTTTTCCATGTTACTTTTGTCCACTTTTTCACTTTTTCACAAAAATTAGACCAATCTCTCGAGGTTTCTCACACAATACTTTAAATGGACAATACACATAATACTTCCCTCTAAATTTCTACTCTAAATCATGTATGCTTGAAAGACAAACGTTTAAGTGGAACATTGGAACGTTTATTTAAACAGAGAGAGAAAAAAAGAAAGAAAGAGAGCAATAAAAAAAGAAGGAAAAGAGACGGAGCAACTTACTTATTTCACTTTCATGCCCACTCCATTTTGGCCAACATAAAATCAGGAGAATTGCGCTACTGTATATACTGTACCGTGGATTTCACCTTTTTTTCTAAAAAGGTTAAATCTCCTTACCTCGTAGAAAAATCTTTTAAAAAGTTGGTAACCCTGAATCTGAGTGCACCTTTTTTGATATGCAAAACCGTGGCAAAATATTGTAGGTTATAAGGGTCAACAACAGTTCAATGTTGATAAAAAGACAGTTGTATTTTTGTGATTCATTAAATTTCACGGTTTTTGGATTTCAACGTGAAGGATATAATCCATTAGGATGTCCATTAGCGATAATAGAGACATAATTATGATAGATGACGAGTGTCAAGGTTGGTTAAATGTATAAAATGAAACATTTAATATTTCCAAAATCCATAGTACATTCTTTACTTTTGCACGTCATTAAATACGTCAACATTACGTGTAGAGAAGCGTTATTAATTAATTTCAATCTCGAGATTTGTATTGGCAAGATATTGCTTTCTAGCAGTTTATGATATAATCAAATTATTAGAGATATAGATTTTTTGCATTAACGTAAATATGTAGATACGGTGAATGCTAAAGTCTCACGTTATCCTTTTCTTCATTAAGGTAATTGTTAAGAAGAAGATAACTTGACCTTAGTGTTCACCATATCTGGATAAATGGTATTACAAAGACTCCCTATTATTAGCTTAATTCCTTGTCAACAAGATTAGGTACTAAGAACTTGTTCTCGAAAATTTCAGCTACGGAGGACAACGAGATAGCTGCCATTGATTATGAGCTACAACAGATAGAGAACGATCTACAGAAATTGCAAGACCGTAGGAGATTATTGACACAACGGAAAGAGAAATTACGGGACGATGCTCTTTTAAAGAAAAGTTTTTCTCTGTCCAAGAAGAATTGGGACAATGCAGATTTCGTTTGGTCTGTAAAACTCACAGAGACATTAAAGAACGTATTTAAGATAGATAAGCTACGAGAGTTACAGTTACCGACTATGAATGCGATCATGTCCAAGGAAGATGTCATATTGATCATGCCTACGGGTGGTGGCAAGAGTTTATGTTATCAATTACCGGCTGTGATGAGTAAAGGTATAACGGTAGTAGTTTCACCATTAGTATCCTTAATGGAAGATCAGTTGCACGGATTGCGTAAACTCGATATAAAGGCTAATATGCTGTGTGCGAAGGCTGATAAGGAGAGCGTCAAAATGACTATGATGGCCCTCGTGGATAAAAGTTGTCCTCTTAAACTGATTTATATAACACCTGAATACATGGCAAAGTCCAATCGCTTCATGAATAAACTGCAAAAAGCGTACGAATTAGGACATCTAGAACGGTTTGCGATCGACGAGGTGCATTGTTGTAGCCAATGGGGACACGATTTCAGACCCGATTACAAGTTCTTGGGAGTATTGAAATCTATGTTCCCTGGAATACCAATTCTAGGTCTCACTGCAACGGCCCCAACTAAAATCATTGTAGACGTGCAGAAAATGCTAGACATTAGTGGTTGCCTAGTTTTACGAGCTTCATTCAATAGACCCAATTTATATTATGAAGTTCGTCGCAAACCGGCAGATAAGGAGACATGTCTCGCGATGATAGAAAATCTGTTGAAGAATCGATTTAACAGCAAGTCGGGTATAATTTACACGACTACGATTAAAGACGCGGAACAATTGACAACTGATTTGAGAGGCAGAGGTATCAAGGCTGGATGCTATCACGCAATGCTTGAAGCCAATTATCGATCGGATGTTTACTCCAAGTGGATGTCGGGCAAGTATCAAGTGGTAGTGGCAACTATCGCTTTTGGATTGGGTATTGACAAGCCGGATGTGCGATTCGTGATTCATCATTGCGTTTCCAAATCGATGGAAAACTTTTATCAGGAGAGCGGTCGAGCGGGTAGAGATGGCAAAAAGTCGGTGTGTCTTGTGCTCTATAGATTAGCAGATATATTTAAATTGAGTACCATGGTATTTCAAGATAAAGTCGGATTGCAAAATTTGTATAAAGTATTGGCCTATTGCTTAGATCAGACTTCCTGTAGACGGAGTTTAATAGCGACTCACTTTGAAGAAAATTGGAAAGAAAACGACTGTGCAGAGATGTGTGATCATTGTAGGAAACCTATAAGCGTTAGAAAACAGATCGACGTAGCATATTATTGTAGACAATTATATCAAATTATGACTAAAGCTGTGCAAAACGAGACACGATTGACCGCACTGAAACTGGTAGATGCTTGGTATGGTAAAGGTGTCTCGTCATTGCGAGTTTCTAACGTACCTGTGCCAAATTTTACGAGAGAAACTGCAGAGGCTATCGTAGGGTATTTGCTGATAAACGGTTATCTACAAGAGGACTTTCATTTTTCAGCATATTCTACAATATCGTATCTTAAACGCGGACCTAAGTCAGGACTGATGTCAGGTGACAACGATCACAAGATACTCTTTAACTATGAGCTTTACTAAACTATTGTTGCAATCAATAGTACAGCTATTCATGGATATTCACTCGTTAATTCAAAACAAATGTTTAATTTCAATGTAGTGTATATTAAAAAACTGGAAAGGGCAGTAGGAGTCAGGCGTAGAAGACGTCGCGCAAATAATATATCTATGAAGTGTGAAACTTCTTTATTCTAAAACGCACTTACATGTTTCGGCTCACTTTTGAGACAACACAAACTAACATACATAAAAAAAATTATCCTGTCATGGTGACATATATTATTAAAGGATGTTCTCTCTCTCTCTCTCTCTCTCTCACACACACACACAATTAAATATCAAGCATTTACATTATTTGAAAATCTACTACTTTGATTACAAGTACGTTAAAATAAAACTAAAGCTCGCACTTAATCGCAATATTCTGAATTAGGTGTGAAATGATTGAGATTTCACAACATAATTGATGTAAGCTTTAGCCTCGAAGAAAAGAGAGAAAGAGAGAAAGAAATTGGACAATCGATTAAAAGTAAAAGCGAAACGCGTGACAGTTTCGTACGTTACGATGAAGAAATATTGAGAAACGTGAAAACGGTGAACGATCGATAAAAACGGCTCTACGAGGCGGCAGTGAAATGTCAGTGGGTCGGATAGTAGGATAGACCGGAGGGTTTCTAGGTGGTAGGTTCCGTGATGAAAGGAAATATTGATCTAGGATAAGCAGCTAGATAAGGGGGATAGTATATCCACATGTTCCTTGTAATGAAAACAATATATAAATGCATCGTTGATTGAAGAGCTACGCTCTTCGTTCCTGCCGTCACATTATCGAACATGTATGTTGGAAAACGAGATACTTTTGCAGAAACACTTACAAGAGGTAGTGCAGTGTCTCGTACGCGTCTTTAGAACGTAGATTCTAGCCAATTGAAGCGGATTTTATGATAAAATCGACGTAGTTGCGCGTACTTGCGCGGCAGCGACAGCAGCAGCGACGACGGCGCGGCGCTCGCGCACTAAGCACCAAGTACTACACAAGTAGTAAGAAATTAAGAATGCCAGCCTGAACCTTTCGAAACAGCGATTTCGAAACAGGGACGTTAATTGCTGTGCAAATGATCTCAATTTTATTTTTCCTATCTCAATTAAGAGTCTACGTTACGGGTACATAATGTTTCAACAGTAACTCGTAACGCAATCGAGATATTACGAGATTTTCTAGAATATCCATCTTTCACTCTGTGAAGAAGAGCGAAGGATGGCAGAGTTGTATCAGAATTCGTTATTGTGGAAATGGTACAACAACAACAACCACAACAACAACAACAACAGCAACGACGACGCGGATACGTATTATTGCGTATTATCGAGTACGCTCCGTACGCTCCGTAATGGTATGTAACGAGGCTAACAATAAGTGATAATGATAACGCCATCGCGTGCGTGAGCGCGCATACATATATATTCACGTACGCTACGCAGAAAGACAAGTCGTCGTGTGAACGACCTACCTCGGTGCTTTTAATTACTATTACACAATTGTGATTATGTTCACCCTCCGTCTCTGTCCTACGTCCTCTTCCGACTGGCTCCGTTCGCAACAACAATGTCGCTCGTTATTTCAGAATTTTGTTCAACTCTTACCTCTTAAGGCAAAAGAGTCGTCGACGTCGTCGTCTGTCTCACAAGTAAGTGTAGGTGTAATGAACAATTAAGATCATTTCATGCAACTATCAATAAAAACGAGATTACGACTTTTTCAGCAGAATGGTAAAGCTCAAGCTTATGTCTTTTTACAGCGAAAAAGAAGAAACTAACTGACTCTCGACCAAGTAATCGCTCGATCGACAATGCCTCTTCCAAATATTTGGAGAAAAGCGAGCAACTATATCCTTGGTGAGTGCGGCCAGGACAACCGGCGCGTCATTTATCAAGACGGCGAGGCATTGTTCTGCAAAAATAACGTCTGCGTGCACCCTCCTACGTTAATGAGACAGCACGCCGACGTGGTGCATCATCCTGGATATATGACGATAACTTGCAAGTTGAACAACAATTCCAACAATTTACCAATACCGACCCTGCACCTAAGTTGGATACCCAACAGCACGTTGCGCAAACATCCTACAGCGTTGGAGAATCTGAGTAGCAGAAACGCTGCCGCGACCTGCCCGAATTCCCGTCTCTCGGCCCCCGGCCCAGGGAATTCCCTCAACGTTTCGGACATGAGACGCGAGCTTGAGAACGAACATGAACATGAAAATGGTACGGAGAACGATAACGGAAATGGGAAACTAGATGTGTGCTTGGAGGCCAAAGAGCCGGTGAATTGCGGAGACTGCGAACGCGTTTGTTCAAGTTCCATCTGTCGTTCCGGTTACGGCAATGACAGATTTCCACCTCACCGAAACCCAAGCGTCGCAACTCTCGATCGCAATGACGAAAATGCCGCCACCGCTATCGAGACCGAGATCGAGACCGAGATCGAGATCGAGACCGAGATCGAGAATCGTCCGAATCGAGCGGACTCGAGCAACGAAAAGAACGATGCTGGAGATCGACTGCTGAAAGAGCGGGACTGTTTGAACGAGATCGACGAGGAGCCACGCTTCTCGTACCGCGACGATGTCAGCGTAAAGAGTCGCAGCTTGTCATTAACGTCGACGTGCAGTTGGTCCATCTCGGTATCCACTGATGGTAGGATAGAAAACATAACGGTAACCGGTAACAATTGTTGTTCTTGTACAATTAACGATACTAGCGATGACGTTGTTTCTGCAGCGGAAGAAATGCCGTCGTGGATGAGGTCTCCGGAACTCCTAGCGTTACAACACAATCTTGTCTTTCCGGAGAGCGCGACCGCGTCGCCTGTGACGTTGCGTAGAGCACACCGATGCAGAAGGTTCTCGGTGGATCTCAGCGAGATGCGATCCTTGCGGCTGTTTTTCGCCGATCCTGCTTGCACCTGCGGTCAGTTGGTCGTCGCGAGCAGGGAGAGTCAATACAAGATCTTGCATTTCCATCACGGTGGCTTGGACCGGCTAGCCGCCATTCTACATCAGTGGCATCAACTGCTTTATCCGCGTTTAAATACCGACACGGAAGAGACTTTGCCGTACAGGTCAGGCATTTTATTAGAATGTATGATAAAAATTGCAATTTTCTCTGTATCAAATAATGATTTATGATTTCATTCACGTCGACGTACGTTGATACGACTGTAACGCGTTGCGCAGGCATTTTATGGTATGTCGGCCGGAAGTAAGCCGGGACGAGCTACATCCCGAGGAGGGTCAAGTACCGATGATCACGTCGCTAGCTTGGAAAGATTTATTGAATGAACGGGGCCAGATGGAGGACGACCTCGCTCTTCGTAAGGGAATATTTTTTGGCGGTTTGGAACCAGCGTTACGAAAGATCGTTTGGCCTTTCCTGTTGCACTGTTACTCTTATCAAAGTACGTACGAGGATAGAGAGCAGATCGACGCCATTAGACAGCAAGAGTACGAAGAAATACAGAAACGCAGACTGAGCATGAATCCAGAGCAAGCCGAGCGTTTCTGGCGAAACGTAGTGTGCATAGTGGAGAAAGATGTTGTTCGCACGGACAGGGCTAATCCATATTACGCCGGTGAGGGTAATCCCAATGTCGAAATAATGAAGTGAGTAGACAGACAAGTTACTCTAATGCTTCTAAGAATCTCTCTCTCTCTCTCTCTCTCTCTCTCTCCCCCTCCCTCCCGCCCCCCTTCTCTTTCCGTCTCATCCCCAAATTTATACTATTGCTATATACATATCGTATTATTTGCGTGGCTTGTTATTATTTCTTTTTTCCACCGTTTTCTCTCACAGGAATATTTTACTCAATTACGCGGTATACAATTGCCGCTTGGGTTACACTCAAGGAATGTCCGATCTCTTGGCTCCATTACTAGCCGAACTCAACTCTGAAATCGAGGCCTTCTGGTGTTTCGCGGGTTTGATGCAAAGATCAGTAGCCGTGTGCACTCCAACGGATACAGATATGGACAGAAATCTGTGCTATCTTCGAGAATTAGTAAGGATCATGGTACCAGATTTTTACATGCATCTTCAAAAACACGCGGATGCCTTGGAGCTTCTTTTTTGTCATCGGTGGATACTCTTGTACG